CCCGCCCAGTGGAAATTAGGATTGAATCCGCCTATAATTTCACTTTATTGGTGCCATGAGCCGGAGGCCTACACACTTTAGTAGTAGTGTGTCTTTTTCCCAAAAGTAACAGCCTTACGGCGATTAATTTATATTTATATAAAAGATTAGTTGTTAATCTCTGTCAGTCATGTCTGTTGGAACCCGTAAAATCATTAGCCGTTTTAATAAGCGCCTACAAGAGTACTTCAAAACAGTGGATGAGGAGACGGATATACCCGAGGATAAACGTGAATGCCAAAGTCCACTACAAACACTTACTTACGACAAGAGATACTCGGATGAAGCTATCGAACAATCGGAAAATGGCAATCACGAGTGGCGTCGACTTATCACAGAATCATCACCGGAAATAGCGAAGAGCGAGGAAGAATTGTACGAGGAGTACACCTATGAAAAGAACGTGGCAATTTTTGTGGTTACTTTAAATAAGGCTAAGATCTTGAGAGGAATCATCGACATACGAATGGCACATTGCGCAGCCAAAGAGAAGAAAACAGGTACGTTATGAGAACAGCATTGGAACCATCCAGTTCTGTTGTAGGTTAAATAGATTTATGGTACAGCACAAACGATTTCCGTCTTTAACTTAGCGACGTTTCGAAATAGTCCTCAACAAATCAGCGCGTCACCCTCACATTTCACTGCAGTGCCAAGTGATTTCAGGATACCTAGCATCTTAATAACCGAGGCCAAGAATTGCATACGTGGCTTCATCGAATTTTGGACCGTTACCGAAACATTACACAATCTCTTGAAACTCTTACGCACAACAGGAAGCAAGCTACAGGAGGTTTGAAAACGAATAACCACTGTTGGAGCAGTAAAAGCAGCAAGAAATTCCCGACCGCACCATCATCGCAACAAAATATTTTTTTAGACTACCAAAAGTATTCAGTACTATAAAAATTCGTCCCGGCGGCACCTAGAACTTGCACTACTATATGCTGGTGTGAAGTCGTAAAGCAAATAAGGTGATAACTCATTTATACGCATTCTTTCAACCACAACAAGTTGTTGCGCAAAAAGAAAAGACGGTAATAAATTAGTTTTGCAAGTGAATGAAGTAGAATTATTTATCGAGAAGAGACTTGTTATGCAACAAAAATTACAAACGAGATCAAATACGTTTGCACACACTACAACAAATCAACAGCTGGTTTCATACAGCGTTTATAAAAGCTGAACTTACCTAACCACCGGAGTTAGACTGGGAAAAAAGAAATATCGTTAACAGCGGAGAAGCCCTTTCAATTTCTTTAGCCCCACACCTTGAAAAACGAAGTTACTTAACTAGTCCCAAATGCTCTCCAGCTTCTCCTGAACAAATGTTTTTGGTAAAGGAAACACTTCTTAACACGACAAAAATTAGCTCAGAGACAAAAACTGTTGACTGCCATATTACATTGCAATTGAGATTCGCTGAGCAAGGACTGCTGTTGTGCACCGTAATAAACACGTTAGCAAAATTACTGCAATTTTTGTCCACTAAGTTCGGCTAACTGTTTAATAACTGCCAAATCAATTCCTTCAAAGAGGTTCCCAACGGCGTTTCGTCTCTGTATACGTAACGCGTTGGGACCGGTTAGTTCCGATGAGTACTGTCGCACCATACAGTAACTGTTCTTCTGAATAACCTCTGGACGGTCTTGTAGAGAACACTGACTGAGCATTATTGTAGCCGCAGATACTGATGGTTGTTTTTGGGAAGAATACGCACTGTGCATCTCGAACCTGAAATACGACAATTCAGTGTAACGATGAAATCCATATCTACTTCCTCCCTATTACCTTCCTGAAAATCTGCAGCAGAAAGTGAAATAAAGACTCAAAAAACTTAAAGACCTGAGTTTGCACCTTCATCAATCCTCTTACTCATTCTCTATCTAACATGATATATAAGGAAGAAAGAGTACCACTAAATGATAAATGACTTTTCAGGCAGTCCTTTTCTTCTACTCTACTACGTACCGGATGATCGTCTACTGTATTGAGAACTGTTCTTTCACTGCTATTTATAATTTCGTATCTACCTATTCTTCAAGTGAAATATCATTACTTAGCTGTTTTAAATATGCTCTTATCTTCCCTAAATTTGACAACAGTCGTTTTCGCTATAACATTTTCAAAAATGCCTTTTTTAAGTTTGACGCAGAACTAGATAACAGCAGCAACTTTTCATACTGCGCTAGAGAAAGTATGATTGAAAAACTAGTAAGAACCAAATCCCTTAAAAAAATAAAAATAAATAAAAAATTAAAAAACAAAATTACACCTACTTCTACGAAGAAAGTTCCAACGGCGTTTTAAACGGAACAGTAAATTTTTTCACGCAGTAACAAACGTAGGTATCAGCAGTCAGATGTAGTTAACCATGCAGAATTAAACGACATTCAAGTAGGGATAGTTTACAGAGCTAACTTCCGACTATACGTCAACAGTGAGTTCTGAAATAGCTGAAACAGTCGTAAACTAAGGTTATAAAGTTTGTTGTTGTAAGATGCTCTTCATTAAAAAACGACGTCCAAAGCAAGTGCTGCGAATAAAAACAAGCAAGAGCAGAAGGAAATTGAGAGTTCTGGTAAAAACAGGCAACTAAACAGGAACGTTTGGTGTTCCGTTCGTTAAAAGATGCACTAACAACCATAGCTATGAAACACAACCCGAAAACTGTATGGCGTTAGAAAAGTTAAAAAACAATTGTTCACCAGTTGCCTCACTAATTTTTATCAGCGCTCACATAAACCATGACTTTGAAATTAAAAAAAAAAAACAACTACGATACATTAAACTAACAATACTGAACAACTAACGATTTATACATTCAGGAATTATCACTTTCTGTATTCAGTGGTTAGAATCAAAGTGCAGAATATGACAAAAAAAATTTGTTGACAAACTCAATTTTGAAAGACGAATGAGTTCAAAGAATTTAAAGTAAGATTAAGCAAGAAAGGTTAACCAAGGGATTAAAAGGACTAGTCAAAACCATACGCACAATGCTGATTATCCAAGAAGAGTTGCACAGAAACGTGAACAAAATCGAACCAAATAAGATCTTATAGCCCTGTAAGTTTTCCCACTGATCAAAAGATGACTTAAAGAATCGACACACAACAGTAATAAACAAGGAAAACCAAACTGCTCAAAGCATCAAGCACATGTCAAACAGCTAGAAAAAATTTTCCACATTACTGAGAGAAGTGTCTTAACAAAAAATCTCTCTCATTAAATTACGTACCAAAATTACTATTTTTCATCACAACTTCCAACCTACTCATTTCTTCATGTTAAATTCATTCAACTTTTAGCGTTCAATACGTAATAAATTGCTAGCAGTACTCAGCCAGCATTCGACTGCACGCATTTATGAAAAGTCAGTTGAAATTTTAAATTCCAAACCCTTTCGAGAGCTAAATAAATTTAGGAACACAGCTTTTAACCGCATTTCATCAGCAGCTTCCAGAAAAAGCAACAACTTGACGGCTTCTCCGTCCGAGATTCCAGTCACTGCCCCCTGCGCTCCAGCTTCACTTTGTGACTCGCAGCATTAAAACGTAAATCCAGTGACGCTTTAAGAATAATGAATGCAGCCTGAAATGACGTCTGATGAGCAGCAAAACGACTAACTTTTTGTTTTTTAAACTTTACGTCATAATAACGGGCTCATTCAAGAATAGATCCAAAACACAAAGTCTTTAAGGGAACCAAACAACATCTAAAAGTCCATTTTACTTCAGCGCCACTTAAAACTTGCTAAAAGAATAAGAAACCTAATCATAAAAATAACACGGCCCTACAACTAGCGCAAGGAAAACGTTTGAAGGATGACTAAATCACAAATTAATCGTTATAGGTGAAACTCTTCTATGATCCTCTCCAGTTTCATAATTACAATATCAGTATAAATAATTCGTAGTGATTGCTTATAAAACAACAGGATAGAAATTAAAAATAAAAATACAAAATGAACATTTGTAATCTTTCGGCGCCTAAACAAGGTACGCTTGGTATAACTTCAAAAAATGCCTCTTCTTCTCCTGATATTTTTCGAAGAAAAGAGCACTCGCCTCTTTCAAAACAGCCTTTCAAGAATTCCAAAAAACAGGAAGAAAAAAAAAAGAAGAAACTGAACCCATCACTGGAAGAAAATCCCAAAAGCACCTAACAACTATGGAAGTTCTAACAAAAAAACCAAATAAAAACTATTACTTTAACGCTAAAATATGCCGTATATAGTGAGTATCCGTAATTGTTACCTGTTTAAAAACCAGCAGCTAGTGTGGCAATCTGTAAAAAGAATTTTACTGACGTAGTGATACGAGCTTTCACAAAAATGGCGTCTCTGAATACTCACAGCCTATCGTCTAATCCTAATTGTCTTAATCGCGCATAACTGTTCTTTATACTCTGGTACTGCTGCAACTGTCACAGAGACAACCAAAACTTAATATCAAAAACAACAGCAACGTATACGATAGAACTATCTATTGGCCGCAATTCTTAGAGCAATCCAAATCATATCGTTTTATGATTATTGCCTAGTTGAATGCTGTTTCATGGAAATCAGCAAAACGGCTGAATATTATTGAGATTTTTTACCTACTGAATATCTTCACTGGTGCTTAGACTTTTTTGTTTTCACGCGATTCAAGAGTATGCGGATCACTAAGGGTGTAACACAAGTCCATATATAATGAGTTCAAGAAAAAAAAAAAAAAAAAACGATCAAAAAATTAAGCTATAGAGGAGAGCCCTGTGTTGTTGAAGATTCAGTGTAAAAGTTAAGATTATATGTAACAGTAACAAGAGAATTTAGTTTAATAATTGAATTCAATGCTAATCACACTTTTAATTGAAAAAAAAAAAAGAGAAGTAAACAGGACATTTCTTCTTTTTTTTTTTTTAATACTTGAACTGCTCAAGGTGTGATTGCGCCAACAGTCTTGAAAAACACTGGCTTTTAAATTGGAAAACGATGATTATGGCTGACGGAAAGTTATACGCATATGACAGCTGTGTTAATGAAAAATCATTAGTTAGCGAAGATGTACATGGAAGAAGAAAACACGACAACCGGTCGTAGGTAAAAACAACAGCTGTGCGTATTTATTAACGTAGACTCTAATAGCCCGAGAAAAGAAAAATGCTTAACTAATCAAAAAAAATGTGACGTCACAAGTGCGCAAACCACAGAGCTGTGGCAAGGGAAGGAACCCGTTGAGTGTTCTCACATCTCGGGCGCAAGTGCGCACATACACGCTCATATACATATATACATACAATACATACACATACAAGCAAACAAACAGATAAACGACAAACACAAAACAGAGAAACACTAAGTCAGACAACGAAACAAAATGGCAGAACTAAACAGATGGGCAGTCACGCACACACTTGCGAATACACTTGGCAGTTAATAACTAGAACAAATAAAAAATACCGGATTCTTAAAATCGATTAACCCACAACATTTGCCACAAATATGAACATTTAACAGCAGCGTAGGACTTTTCCAGCTTAAATGTTGGCAGTTATGCAAGAAATCAGAAGGGCCACCAGAAGCCTCAAGCTGTTTGCTTCCGAAGGTGTGCTTGTTCCGCCACTGGTTCTTAGTGGTCCTTAGCCTGTGACACTAGCAGATAAGTCCACTGGAGCAAATGCGCTGGTGACATATAGTAGCGCTCTCGTTCGTCCCAAAAATCAAACAAACTTATGAACTTTTATAGCTGGTAGAAGCGTCCATGGTGTCCCTTTGGTAAGACTTTTAAAAAAGCCTTCTTTGTGTTGTTTCAAAGAACACCTGCCTTTTTGGAAATATGTGATGAGAATATCCTACATTTTTTTAGAAAATTAGGGAGTTAAACTGCTACCTGGCATAAAAAAAATCAGCATGATTACACACGAACTGCTTTGGCTGAACTGTAGATGCTAAAAATGTTAGATCATGTACGGAAAAAGGAGCCAACATCCACGCGATGGAGCCTGGGAAGTAAACACCGGTACGGATTTAAAGTGACGTAAAAAGCGTCGAGCTGTGAACATAGCGGGAGGGCAGACGGCAGTGCACTGAATTTGTGCACACTAACTGCCGATCGAAATTCTTTTTTCGCTAGAAGTTTTTTTTGCTAGTTTCACTTCTGTATTGATATTTTCTTTGATGACGTCAACTGCAATGAAAAAAATTTTTTCATAATCAGCAAGAATTCTCTTGGTCAATGGCTGAATTTTTTTCTGTGTTCATTTGTGTGCATATTTTTCTAAACATTATTTGCAGAAGTTCAGTGGGTCATTTAGTTACTGAGAAATCTGAAGGCAAAACGATACAAGTAAACAAATTTTTGGGCATATATATATGGACTATTCCATGCCAAATTGCACACTTTCCCTCCATACCTTAAATTTTTTTGAGATTTTGCTGGTTAGTTGAGTAGAGGCCAGTATAGAAAAAGTCGAAAAAAACCTGGAGAAGTGAATTCCCTACCGAGTTAAACCCTACAAAATTTGCCAGATTGCTACTTGACACGCCTATGTCTGCAGACTTGTAATTTAGCTCGTTCTAAATAGAATCTGATGCTTTTTTTGTTTCTTAGATATGCCAGGTTTTGAACTTTTAAACCGTGTTTATTATTTTAATTCTATTAGAAAATCACATAAATACAATAAAAATAAAATTTTAAGTAAGCATAAAAAAACAAAATTCTGAATTTTTTAAAAAAGAGATATATCCTGCAGAATTTTTGCTCTTCAACATATCAAGTTTCGGAGTTGCCGATTTTTTGGTATCAAGAGCTACGAGCCGGAATAGGACGTAAGACTGAAGAAAACAAGCTATTTTCACAGTATTCCCATGTATTTTACAATGGCGAAACCATCCGGAGCCGCTTCTGAATGCCGCAGCACAAACAGCTGCAAATATCCAGTATAGTTCAAACGCTAAAATTGAAAATTTGCTACCAAAGTTGTAATTTACTTTCATAATATTAAGAAATTATTATTCCGCAACGTTGTAAGAGGTAGCCTTCACTTCAGCGTTTTTTACTTCCCCTAATTTGTTCTGTCAGAACTATGTAGCTAGTATACATTTTGAGGTCGCAAAGAAGCCTAAGAACTCACTGCTTTTCCTGGGTATCTGCCAAATTGAAATTTTTCTTAAAACTTTCTATGTTTCTGCAAAACTACAGCACGTAAATCCAAAGAGAACAACGAGTCGAGCTTCTGTTCGCTTATGCAACCAAAACTTTAACGGGTACAATGTGACGACAAGTAAAGAACGCTGAAGTGAAGGCTTCATCGTACAACACTGTTGAATAATAAACAGTCAATATTATCGAAGTAAACTACAACTTTTATAGCAAATTTTTAACATTTAAAGCATACTGGATATTTGTGGCTGCTCACTGCGGCCTTCAGAAGCGGCCCCGGATGGTTTCTCCATTATAAAATACATGGGACTACTGTAAAAATAGTGGGTTTTTTCAGTTTTACATCCTATTCGGGCTCATAGCTCTAAATACCAAAAATCGCCATCTCCAAATTATGATATTTTGTAGAGCAAAAAAATTATGCACAAAATGTTTTTTTAATAAATTTAAGACTTCGTTTTTTTCCTTTGTTTGTTCGAAATCTTGTTTTTATTGTATTTATACAATTTTTTAACAAAATTAACAAAATAAATAAGCATTTAGAAGTTCAGGCATGACAAACCCAATAAAGAAAAAAGCATCAAATTCTATTCAGAACGAGCTAAATATGTAAAGAGAGGCATTTCAAGTGGCAACCTGGCAAAATTCGCCATTTTAAGGGGGTGTAACTTGGCGGGGATTTTACTTTTCCCGGTTTTTTTTTCGGGCTCTCTATGCTCGCCTGAACTCTACTAATCAGCAAAATTTAAAGAAAATCTGAGATATGAAGGGAAAAAAGTGTGCGATTTGACGTGGTATGGCCCATGTATATATGGGCCATACCACGTAGCAGGGTAGGAAAACGTGCGCCTCTCAGTACCTTTTTCTGACAGTAGTTGTCTTGTGTTCTTTAAAACAAATATTCTGTTAGCAGTAATTATGGTTAAGAAGGAAACAGATGAAAAAAAGCTTGGAAAAAATTTGATGACAATGACTTCGGAGGAGTATTTGTGTGTTGCAAAGCCTATGTAGTCTCTGCAGAGTAAAACTGCTATAGTTTAAAAAATCAGAAGCAGCATGAGTCCATATCTGCATTTGATGGGTCGGAACATTTTTGAAGGCAATTTCAGCGGAAAAAAAAATAGGAAAGCAAAGTTATGGCTTCTTCCTAACATCACTGGTAAATTGCTGAAATATAAACAACGTAACTGCAAATAATTGAGGTTTTTCTATAGTTCCGTTCCCGTCATTACTTGATTTGGATGCTATTGCAGTTAAGAATGCTAACCCCGAACATAATTTTTTGACGGCCAATCTTACTTCAGTTTTAGTATACGCGGTTTTCGACAGCGCCTAATCCATCTGTAGTAGTTTCAAACTTCTTTATTTAATTCTTGCTTTCTTTCTAACTGCCTAATGGTAAAATGTCGATGTAATCGTTTTGCAACTTTATAACACCGATTCTGTACCAGCAGATGATGCAATGGATAGTACGATTACCTTTGATCACGATTCTACAGATCTGAAAGATTCACAACTCCCACCGTGCAGTTCCTCTATTCGTAGTTTTAACATTTCTCGACCATTTTCTGGTCTCTTCAAAAAACCGGTTTAATCACAATTTTCCAGTTGTTTATGTATAATTCAGGAAATGGTACTAAATGAGTTTATTTTTTAGGAAAATCTGCCTTCACCATATTACAAAAATCTGTAGCTGCTTCTCATTGTGGCAAAGATAAATCGGAAAACTGAAGTTTAGAATTCTAGCAGCCATATTTTACCCAGTCGTCTTTCTTCTTTTCTGTTGGAAGTGTTTTCTCAAGATTACTTTTCCTACGTTTTCACTAATTTTTAGATCAGAGACAAGGAAGGGAGATTTATAATATACCAAAAGCAGACTTGGATACCTCTAGAACATAAACTCAATCAATGCCATTTGTTAAGATCTTTGTGCACAGCTAAAACACCGTAATTAAATACATTTATTTTTCAGCAGACCAGAAAATGGTGATTTGTGATAAGGGGTGAAGTGTCGTGAAAGAAAGTGACTGGAGGGTCCACTTTTTTGCTGCACTTTTTTCGGAAGCTTAGTAAATTTGCAGATTCGTACCGTAGGAGTTCTGATCATAGCTGTATATTACTTTGTTGAATCGACACTTAAAGTCCTGTACCAGATATCATAGGATGGTTTTGTTGCGCGTAAAAAAGTTCAAAACGTAAAATTAGAAAACATTTCAAGCCACGGTTACTACTGATAGTTCTAAGAGTATCGAGAATGTTACAGTTTTTTATAACGATAAGAAAAGTAATATTAGATGAAGAATGTCTAAACATTACACTTCTCATTATATCCGTAAACAACATCATTTTTATTCCGAAAAAAAAAAAATGAAGAAACTTTATTCAAAGTAAAATTAACTTCCCAGTTGCGTCTCGCATACTTTAGTGAGGCAGCTTATAATTTTAACTGCTAAAGAGCCTACTATCTTTGTTTATCCACACCTTTCCTTAAGCTGAAAAAAGTTGGACAAAATGTTGACAAGATTTTAAGCAGTGTTAATGTTAAACTGCCAAAGTTACTTCCGTCATTTATCCTAGCAAAATATTTGAATTACATAAAAGTTTAAGTAACGTGTTGTAACTCACAATCCGACTTAGATTTTTCACAGCCAAATTAACTGTCAATAACTTTTAAAGCTCCATTTAATACAGCACCAGAACATTTCACTGTTCCCAAACGCAAAAAACCCAAAACGCACACCTACTAGACGAACTGAACCACCCTCTTCCTTTTTTATCGCCAGGTCATATCTACAATCTAAATCTCTACAGGTTTAGAGTAGCCAGGAAGCGCTAAGTGACTTTGGTGTTCTTAGAAACGCATCCACGGAACAATCCAGAGTGGAAGACGTTTCAAACGGCACAAGATCTCACCCGGTAAATTTAAATACGTTAACTTCGAAGGTAACAACTAAACCCAAGAAGCCAGGCAACCAAAGGCCTTAACTGCTTAGCAGCAAAGCTTTCACTAATCAAACCTGAAATCATTCAAAGGAAAGAAAACAATAAATCTATTAAGGACTACACTTGAAATCTGTGAAATGTGACCACATAGTGCTTCACGAACACACACTTCCAAAATCAGCTACTGAACTAACATATATTAATATCACTCTACTTTACAGTAAAAAGCATTTGCTTCTACTCTCTTCCAACAAATTAACCAACAACACTGAAAACCATGACTCTTAGTTGCTTTAAAAAGAATAAAATCAGTTTATCGTTTTTTCTTTGAGATCATCAGCTGACCGTCGTAAACAAATTAATAAATGATTTCATTAACCCCCCTAAGGGCGAGTACACTCAGAATAAGCTCCATTACCGTCAAACAGCCACAAAACATTAAAGAACTATTCGCTAGTAAAGAAAAATATGGTTTCTGCCATCATAAGCTAAAAAAATTCAAGTCTGGAGTATCTGGATCCAAAAGAATACCAGATTACTGCAATCAGAAAACGGCATCAAAGTTCAAAAACCATATCAACAAGGCTTTTCTTTCCTAGCTGAAAATGCGAGATAAAATATCAAGAATTAAACTTAAAGCACGTGAAACAATAATAACGTATATGAGCTGGATAATAGCATTCCTCATATGATACATTACACTTTTCGTATAGCAATTTTTAAAACTCATAGGTATAAACATATTAAGAATATTTGCTAATCCTCATTTCTACATAGACCCGTTCCACTGAGAAGAGCATCAGGTCCTAAAAAAGGAATGAATGAAGCTATTCACATGAAGGAAACTGTTGCGCGATAGACTGGTGAACTGGAGGAGCGAATTCCCTGACGACTCTGCTATCATCGACCATCTCTTCACCACTTTCGTTTACTGGCTGAAGGTAATTATCCAATACACCAAAAATTTGACTGTTTAGTAGCTGGAACCGACGAATACGATCCACCATGTTTGAAAGCTTCTATATCAAAGAAAAAAAAAAGACTACAATGACAGCACGAACTATAGCGATGAAGAGCAATCAGAAAGAAATAAATCGCTTAAAACTAATAAATGCAGTTTAAAAAGAAAAATTAATAAATATTGATAAAAGTGTATATTATCTGTCAAATTGCAAATAATGCTACCAATGTCGTCTCTTCAAGGATACCATTAAAAAAAGTTGGGCTATAGATAAGTATACGTCATCTACAAGATAAAAAATAAAAAACATACGATTCCTTTCACCACACCATTTTTTCCGTCAGCACGGTGTACTCGTAACAAGTGATAGCTAAAATCTAGAATTTCAAATCGACGATGTTGTCCTAACAGTATAACGATTGTGTTGCCTGCCCAATGAAGCCCGTCACCATAAACTGCCCTAAAAAGTAAATTTCTTCACTAGTGAGCTCCAACTTTTAAAAAAACTCGTACTTTTCTCAAAAAATGTATATAAAAATAAAAGTTGGCTACTCTATTAATGGTTCCGTAGCCTGTTCTACTCCACCCGAACTAGGTGGGGGTGGCTGGCAAAAGAAGAACTGCATCGCGGACCAAGCTCTGTGAAATTCAACGCACTCGTCCAACCACATAACCTAGAACTAAATATAG